GACTACCTCTGACCCTTTGGGATGATTGGGGATCATTGGTTAGGTGTGGCTAAGAAGAAGGGTTCGCCGAGAGGTTGATCTCCTCTTTGAGGGTTTTCCTCATCCTCGAAGAGGTCACCTCCTCGGACAAGGTGGTTAGAAAGAATATTCCCCATGTGCCTTGCACATGGGCTCCATCCTACATCATGAGGTGCCTATAAATAGCACCCACCCATAGCTTTACAAGGGATGGATTTTAGAGAGATAACTCTTAGGAAATAACTAATTTCCCTTTTTCCATTATCAACCTTGAAAATGAAAGTGGGAGATCCATGAGAGAGCCTTGCCATTATTCTCTCTCTAACTATTTGCCTTCTTCTTCACCCAATCTCTTATCTCCGTCATCTCCTTTCTTTTGTATTCTTAGTTAAGACTATTGAAGAATCTAAGCCTCTCATCATCTTCTAGAGAATTCGAATTTTTCTTCAAGGATCTTCGAAGATCTTCGAATTTTCTAACAATGTTCTTGAACCCTATCATACATTTGACGACTCTGCTGGGGAGGCGGATTAGTTAATAGTCTCAACAAGATCCGGAATCTACACAACTCCGATGAAGATGGCGAGAGAAAAAGAAGTTCATCAACAAGGCTCTTTCAACAGTGGTGATGAGATGACTCAAGCTCAAGACGCACCTCTCATCCTTGAAGCCATTCAAGGACTCCAACACACTCAACAAGAGACTCTCATGACCCTTCAAAATCTCATCCACACCATGTTGGTGATGGGTTCGAATTTCACACCACCAGCAACAAATGAAGGTCAAATCGGCGCCGGTAAGCATCAACAACTTCATAGTGATGTTGGGAATGGTCAAAACCATCAAGATCCACCCAAAATTCTCCCTGAAGTTGTAGAAAATGATGTGCAAAATCAAATGCTAGGAGGAACAAGTCATGGCCAACCTGTGGCCTATGGAGCGCAAAATCACGCACCTGGAGGATTGAGCCATGGTCCAACAGTGGTTAGAGGAGTTTTCGACGCGACGAATGGTGTTCCAGCGGTTGTGGAAGTTCAAAGAAAGCCTACAGAAATTTCTTTACAAAATAGTGCTCCATCCATGCCTAATTTTGTTCCACCAATTGTAAATTCTACTCATATACCGAGTGGGTCTTATTTGGCTCCGATGCCGAGTTTGCAAGCCCAACCCGATGTAGCCGTGGCGTATAATGGACTTTATGGGACCCAATGCAACGTCCCATCACCAAATGGCGTGTCCATAGGTGCCGATGGACAATGTCATCATGTGTCTCCACCGATGATGAATTCTCAACACCCAAATGGCCAAGTTGCTCTAAGCTCAGTCTTCAGGTCTACAAGTTAGGTTCTGGGAATACCACCATCAAGTTCTCTCCCTCAACAATTTCTCACTCTCACCGAGGTGCAAGCCATGTTCGATTTCGAATGGAGCAAGAGGACTTTACCCTCTTTGCCCGATCCGGATGTCAAGCCACCATATCCTATTGAGATGTTAAGTTATCCATACCTGGAAGGGTACACGGTGCCGAAGTTCATCAAATTCAATGGCAAGCAAGGAAATGCTCGAGAACAAATTGTTCAGTTCATCGAGACTTTAGGGATTCATGGTTCAAATCATGTCCTCCGACTGAGAGAATTCCCCAAGTCCCTCACCGACCGTGCATATAGTTGGTACATTAACTTGGCCCCAAACTTTGTTCGAAGTTGGGAAGAGATGGTCAACAAATTCTACGCCAAATTCTTTCAGGTGGCCGAGAAAGTGACCATGTAAGGAAAAGCAGCGGGAAGGTGAAGACATTCTCGAATATGTGAAGAGGTTTCAAGACAAAGCCGTAGAATGTCATGAGGCTGTGGAGGAAAACTACTTGGTCCAAATCTGTATTGAAGGGGCATTGAACGGATACAAGATGCTTCTTGTTAATCACAAGCTACTCACCTTCTTGGCACTAATTGAAGCATCTCGGAACATCAACATACCTTAATCTCAGGAGATCAGGTTTGAGACTAGATATAAAACCAGCTTCAAGTCATCCCGAGGACCTTCTGTCACTGCGACTTCCGCATATTTTACCCGAAAGTCGCAGGGGAAGGAATTCAGAGGTCAAAAGAGGAAAAACTGTGAAGATGACATTCATTTTCCTTGTAGTGTTGAGGAGGTGAAGGCCTTAGTTAAAGAATGGGTGGCAGATGGGGAACTGAAGTTGCCTCGTATCGAAGAGCTTTTGTCGAAGAAGGACCGCGAGGGCCTTAATTATTGTGTTTTCCACCGATCACTAGGGCATCCTACAGAAAAGTGCCGGACGCTTAAGAAGATCTTTAGAAAGAAAGTCGAAGCAGATGAAATAGAGTTCCAAGAACAGAGGCCCTGAGATATCTTAGAAGACGTGGCTATGATGGCATATGACGGCCATAACCTAAATAGCTGGTGAAAGTTTTTCGAAGGACCCTACGACTCTAGGGGCAAATGTCAATGTTCTGTAGAAGAAGTCTATCCATGACATTTACAATTTGTATTTACTACATTGTCTAAGAATTTTCTATCTTTCTTTCTTATGTTATGAAGAAAGTTATTTCCTCCATATTGTGTATCTCCATTAGAAGTTATTTTCACTATATTATGTATCTTGATTGTGTTGTGTCGCTTGAAACAGTTTTTAATTTTTTTTGCCCTTCAAAGAAGAAAGAGGAATAGTAAACTCGATTACCAACTTGAAGAGATCTTTCTTGCTGAAATAGTGTGTGCTCCCACTCGGACTTCTGAAGAACAGCTCTTATTTCCATCAGTGCAAGCTTCGATGGTCTTTCTTGTTGAAGCAAAGTATGTGTTCCCACTCGGACTTTTGAAGAATAACCCTTACTTTCATCAGTGCGAGCTTGGAGGATCCTTCCTGTCAAAGTAGAAATACTCCTACTCGAACTTTTGAGGGATAGCCTTTGCTTCTATTGATTGCCAAAGTAGAGTGTACTCCTATTCGAACCTCTGAAGAGTAGTCATTGTTTCCATTAATGCAAACTTCGAGGGTCTTTCTTGCTGAAGTAAAGTGTGTGCTCCCACTTGAACTTCCGAATAATAGACCTTGCTTCCATCAGTACGAGCTTCAAGGGATCTTTTTTTGCCAAAAGAAAAGAGTGTGCTTCCACCCGGACTTCTAAGGGACAGCCCTTGCTTTCATTTGGACTTCCAAGGAACAAACCTCGTTTCCATCAGTGCGAGCTTCGAGGATCTCTCTTGTTGAAGTAGAGTGTGTGCTTCCACTCAGACTTTCGAAGAGCGAATCTCGTTTCCATCAGTGTGAGCTTCGAGGATCTTTCTCGTTGAAGCAGAGTGTGTGCTCTCACATGGACTTTCAAAGAACAAACCTTGCTTCCATCAGTGCAAGCCTCAAGGATCTTTCTTGCTGAAGTAGAGTGTGTTCTTCCACTCAGACTTTCAAAGAGTGTCAAGGATCTTTCTTGCTGAACTAGAGTGTGTTCTCTCACTTAGACTTTCGAAGAATAGCCCTTGAGACTCGGTGGCCTATCAGAAGGGATCTTTCTTACCGAAGTAGAGTGTGTGCTACTATTCGGACTCTTGAGGGACTGCCTCGGACTTCTGAGGGACAGCCTTGCTTCTGCTTGGACTTCCGAGAGACAATCTTTACTTTTGTTGGTCCAAGCTTGGTAGATTCGGTTGCCTTCCAAAGGGATCTTTCTTGCCGAAGTAGGGTGTGTGCTACTTTCGGACTCCCGAGGGATAGTCTTGCTTTCATTCGAATTTCCGAGGAACAGCCCTTGCTCTCATTAGTGCGGGTTCTAAAGGCACTGAGGTCGTGGAGTTTTTCTTACAAGAATTCATTTGCCTGAAATAGTAAAGCCGGCAAACTAGGCAAACAATATCGAGTTCAGATTATGATTCAAACATTACCGAAATAGAGGTGACATCAACAATAGTAATGACCTACTTAAGGTGCAACAATTTTATTCCTCTGAGCGAGTTCATGAAAATGCAACAATCAAGGTTTTGTCTCTCCAGGCCGGTTCCTCTCAAGCCGACGTAAAGCTACAACGGTCACACAAAACTTTGGCATCAGCTATGTATTTCCCAAGCATCCACAAGATCAACAAAACGACAATCAATCATTCGACAACAAGATTTATATACAATATGAGGGCCTCATTTCCTCGAGTTTCATCGACAACAACAATATTTATTTTATTCATCCCATTCAAGCAAAGTTAGCAACAACACCAACAAGACTCAAAGGATTTAACTTATCTCTCTCTACACTAATGAATCTTTGCAACATTAATACTCCATCTGTGTCAGATTTATCAATACAAGGTTAAGCTCCAAAACATGAATTTCAGGATTACATTTAACATGCAAATCAAGATTCAATAGAAGCTTCAGCTATCTCAAGTTCAAAATTGATTTACAACAATGCCCACAAATCTCAAATGCCCAAATAAAATTTCTAGCAAGGCTCAAAAATTCAGATTTCATCAAAACAAGAGGTTCAAGAGTGGGTTTCAATAAAATACTTACAGATCTGAAGGCCACGCCCATGAGAGAGAGTGGCCAAGAATAATACAAATTGAAATCGTGAGGAAGTGGTGCCGGAGTGAGCAAATATTGAAGTTGGCGAGGCAGACGGGCGACGGCTAGGGTCGCAGTGTTGGCATGTTCCGAGCAAATATAACCAACGAACAAAGGAACAACAAAGGCACAGCAAAGAACAGTAGCGCAAGTTGTGGCGACTGCTGCGGTACCTAAGGCTGCTGCAACAAGCGACACACAAATAGTTATGGTTTTCGGTGGAGCAAGACTGAGCTCTGGTCTGTTCGGAGTTCTGAAGTCGCGTTGTTGGGCCAAAATGAAGCACTGAAGGCGGACTAGAGCTCGCGTTGGTGTGAGCTAGCAGGAACTTGGGTCATGGCGTCTGCAGTAGTGGCGACAGACGGCATGCAAAGTGGCGTAGATCTTCGGTGACTGTGGAAGCAAGATTAAGCTCTGGTGAGTCCGGAGCTCTGAGAAATTGATGCTGGACTGAAGTGAAATACTGAGGGTGGAGTAGAGCTAGTGTTGGAATGTGCTAACAGTAGCTCGGATAGTGGCATCGGTAACAATCGGAGCCGCGACAGTGGGCAACCTAGAAAAGAATAAGGGTTGATTATTTAATACTTCAAAGAAAGAAAAGCACACCCAGAGATTAAAAAAAAAAAAATCCAACGTATCTCATCTTCTCTCAAAAATCAAGTGCAAGTGTCCTTAATGTTCAAACAACTTTCAAGGATCAGTGACTCAGCTTATATGAGATTAACAATTCAAATTGGTTTCACAAAATGGTCAACAACAAAGATTCATGGGTTATACAATGAAGAAATTCATCTTTCTCAAGTCGAGTTTACACTCTCAACTATATTCAAGCAAGCTCCAACAAAATCAAAATCTGTTAGTATCAAGGAACAAAACATCGGGTTTCTTTCGAAGGTTTACCCACTAATCTAGAGTTATAGAGTAAGAGAAGATGGGTTAATGGTGAGATAGATCGGCGCCAAGAGAAAGAGCAGAGGTAGATGTAGCACGAGCCGAGGTCGCCGCAAGAAAAACATTACAAAGAGCTAGCTTGAGCCAGAGACAACCAGGACAAGTCGGTGGCGGCGTGAGCAGCGTGCGCGAGTAGTGGGCAAGAAGGGTGCTGGGCAGGCCAACACCGCGCTGAGTGGGCGGCATGGTCAGTGTTGGTCGGTCACTGCTGGAAGCAATAGTGAGGTTGCAGATGTCAGACACAAAACGAGCTGGTGCTCACGCGCGCAGGGCAGGTGCGAGCCAAGCCGCAGCGCAACAGCGGCTGGAGTAGGTTAGCAGCGCAGTGTACTGACTGCCGTGAGTGAGTGCGCGCCGCCGAGTTGTCACGCTGTCAACAAGCTGAACGGTGACTACACACATCACGTTGAGTGGGGCAACATGTGTGGTCAGCGTTGGACCGTCGAGGCCGGAAGCAAACTAGCAGAGAGAGGCCAGCGGTGACGACAATGGCGCCGATGTCTAGAGTTGCAGTAGGTGTTGGCGTGAACCGGTGGTAGCCGAAGCTGCCGCGACACCAACGTTAGCTGAAGCTGTGGTCGCCGACGGTGAGCAACGAGGCATCAATCTTTGGTGAAGCTGACGATGTCGGCGCCTGAAGTTGCAGCAGTGGGCTACAAGCAAACGACTACGAAGCTTCGTTGGAGAAGAAAGCAACCTGGGTTAGCCTTTGTAGAGAGAAAGAGGGGCAAAACGGTTGTATAACAAACAAAAAAATAAGAAGCTAAGGATTAGGGTTTTTGTCCCTTTCCTTAAATAAATAAAAAAAAGCATTATTCTCTGAATATTCCCTCAGTTATTCTAAAAATGTATATATGTATATAGTGTGCTTGATGTATTCCCAAAAAAAAAAAAAAATGTGTGTGCCCTTATCTCTTCAAGAAAAATGGGTGCTTTATTTATTTTATGTTTTCAAATGATGTAAAAACAAATCAGTGGCACAATATATATATATATATTTTAATATTGCTTGTCGATTTTATCCGTAAATTACAAGTGAGTCCTCAGCTTTATCCATAGACTCTATCATGACCAAATATTCCTGAAGACATAATGCGAAGCATGGCTGTCAAGGTGAAACTATGCATGTCCGAGAAAACTAAAATTTCTCATACACGCAAGGGGCAAATGTAAGAGGAGCTAATTTGTACCCACTAAATTAATTAGGCCCAATAGTCCAAGGTTGGTGGGCCCAAATTTATCGCAAGTGCAAGATCGGTGGGCCCGGATTTATCGCCATCAAATGGGCTGAATCGCTCTAAGCCTCGAAAGGGTTCGAATCCACGAACCTAGAGACTTACTCGAGCTCGGACTTGAAAGGGTTCAGATCCACGAACCTAGAGATCCGAAACACTTGGCTTCGAATGGATTCAGACGCAATCAAGAAGTCGCTCCATTAATGAGTCCCAGAACACTTGCGGACTTGGAGCTTTCCGGGATCTATGCACCAGTACCATGGGCGTAATGGAGTTCGATCAAAGGACCCGATCCCAAGGATGGTGAGTGGAGATAAATTCACTTTTCGGTTAAACTAGCCTATGCCCGGGTCGAGGTGGCACGATCTAGGGGGTCCCTGAGACTCGACAATATTTGTGACATGGCGTTTTCTTGAACTACACCTAACCCTTCTGTGGCAGGACGTCCTCTGGGACTAACCCGGACCTTTTGGGATGATTAGGGATCATTGATCAGGTGTGGCTAAAAAGAAGGGTTCGTTGAGAGGTTGACCTCCTCTTCGAGGGTTTTCCTCATTCTCGGAGAGGTCACCTCCTCGGACAAGGTGGTTAGAGAGAATATTCCCCATGTGCCTTGAACATGAGCTCCATCCTACATCATAAGGTGCCTATAAATAGCACCCACCCATAGCTTTACAAGGGATGGATTTTGGAGAGATAACTCTTGGGAAAGAACTAATTTCCCTTTTCCATTATCAACCTTGAGAGTGAAAGTGGAAGATCCATGGGAGAGCCTTGCCATTATTCTCTCTCTAACTATTTTGCCTTTTTCTTCACCCAATCTCTTATCTCCATCATCTCCTTTTTTTTGTGTTCTTAGTTGAGACTATTGAAGAATCTAAGCCTCTCTTCATCTTCTACAGAATTCAAATTTTTCTTCAAGGATCTTCGAAGATCTTCGAATTTTACAACGATGTTCTTGAAACATATCATACAACAATTAACAGCAACAACTCTCACTTGACAAAACAATAATATCGCTTTCTGTTTTCTTGTTTTCAAAAATAGAAAAAGCAAAAGCTGCAGAGGGGGAGGAGGTGGAGGTGGAGGTGGAGAAGGAGGAATTACCACTGATGGAGTCTCGGGATGTGTAAGAATGTGGGCATATCCTAGCATGACTTTGTCAGGTTGGAAAGGCCAAGTATTTTGAGAATATGTATCATGATTGTCAATGAAAGTCACAACATTTCCCGGTAAAACACCAATCAACCCCGGTGGATTTTTATTCGAGTCCTTCAGCCTCCACAGCTCGCCTTGGACAGCAACTTGAAGTATCCCTTTGGTAGTAAAATCAAATGCTTTCAGAGAACCACCCGCTGTCTGAACCCACTGAACTATCTTATTTCTATGCTGGTCCTGATTATAGTCTGGCTTCCCATCCTGCCTGTAAGTAAACTGCTCCCAATTCTCCCCAACAGCGAAATCCGGGGAAGTGTTCTGCATATAGATCTTGGTGATGCTCGGGCTATATCCCAAGACAAAATCAAATCGCCATCCAGAAAATCCGATATATGTCTTGAACCAATTCATCCAGTCAGATAGTTCTTTCTGTACCCTCGGGTTGAGGTGGTCGATGTCAGGTGCAAGATAGAAGTCGCCCCCAGTGTCAAGATTTCCTTTGCCATCGGAGTATTTAGTATCGTCTTTGCAAATGAAGAAGGGACCCCAGTCAAGGCGGTCATCGGGGGTTCCTCCCTCGAAGATGCACAATATCCCTCTTTTGTCTTTCTTTTCAACACTTCTGTGGTTGATTATTATGTCAGCAACACATTTGATCCCATTGTTATTGAAGGATTTAATCAAAGTTTTTAATTTGGACTCAGTTCTGTATTTGGATGCATCCAGATCATACAATCTTCCTGGTAGGTACCCTGGGTAAACACAGGATAAAACAGTGAGATTATGAGATATTCAACCTCTAATTGCCTAGTTGAATACCAAACTCAGAACCCATGAGAAGAAGAAGAAGAAAAAAAGTTTCATCACAATTACATTCAAGGTCATCCTCAAAACACATGGTGTATGCTATATGTAAATTATGATTTAAATTTTAAGTATTGGTTATGAGCTATTTGTGGTGTTTAGTGATGAGCCAGTATTATTGTAGGAGAACAACAAAGTGCTAACATCAATACTATGTATACTGTCTAGAAAAGATAGGTACCTAGAAAAAATTAAGAAAGATCTCCTTAATTGTGATGTGTGGTCTATATTTAATTATTATATAGTAGGACCTACACTTAAAATGAATATTTATCGTATAATATTTTTTTTTCTAGATGCGTAGCATTATTGTAGAAAATTACATCAATAGACTATATTCATTTTGAGTATGACTCACATTACATCAATTTTAAATTTATACTCTATACCTCGCTTTCGAGATAATGATTGGGATACAAATTCTAGGTACATAAAAATTTTTAATTGTTAAATAAAAAATAATTACATCTCATTATGGGATTTGGTTATGCTTAAAAATGGTGTTAGTTTGATCAAAGTGTTTTCTGTTGTTTCCAAAGGTGATATTAGTTACAACCCAAAACAGCCATGACTAATAAATCAAATTGATTTTAAAATTCAACGGTATAATATGTTATTTTTTGAAGGGGTGTGCATAATAGTGTATCTATGAAATTGATCATATACCATTGGATATATGTAAATGAAACTCATGGCATGAAAATAATAGAAAAAGAAATGACCAATAATAGCACATTAAAATTATAAAAATCCAAAACCAAGCATAGAGAAACATAATAGGAGGGTTATGACCTTGGGGTGCAGCAGATTGAGAGGGAGAGGGTAGCCAAACATGGGTAATTCCAGCAGTAGCCAGGTCTGGAATTAAGTTGATGAGGGAGTTGTACCATCCTCCTTGCTTACTGCTTGATGCCCAATTAAACCCCTAATCATCATCATCATCATCATCATCATCATCATAAATTATAAATATCACATGTATGTATGTAATGCCTGAAATAACAAGGTAGGAGATGGAGAGAATGGTTTACAGTGTACATGTGGATGATGGCAACGGCTATGTACCTGAAATAACAACTCTGAACACTAAAAATATAGATATACCCGCAATAAAACACTCGTTTTAATGGGAGATCGGTCCAAGTACAATCTAAAAGTCGGTTTTATTATTATTTTTTTAAATATTTCTTTTTATTTTAGATAGGAAAAACAATTCATTAGAAAAAAAAAGAGAAAGAGTTGCTAAAAAACATTTTTCAAATCAGACTTATACAATAGTTAAATTTGAACTCTACGCTATTTTCTTCGTGTTCTTTTTTTTCATGTTTGAGTTAGCATTACTGAAATTTTTAGAATAATTATTTGAGCTTTACAAACACAAAAACCAAAGAAAGAAAAATATATATATATATATACATAAAAAAAAAAATTACAAATTTTGTTGATGAAGCTCACTTTTTAAAAAAATTGTCTATCTATATATATTATTTGTTTTATTTTTTTTAAGCACCATAGAATTAGTTTTATCACAATGGGTTTGACTTTTCTTATATTTACATCTCAATATTAGAGAACTTGAGGGATCCGTAAAATCTACCATGGGCCCCATTTCGATGATTCGACATGTTCATTTTGTAGCGCCCTCAATGTATATCATCTGTAAAAAAATTAATTCAATTTGATAACCATAACATTTTCTTTTTATCGTATTTATCTCCGTAAGATGGACAACAAATACATTTTTTTAAATAGACTATCCATTTTTTAGAAACAAAGATGATAAATTAAAAAAGTTACAATTATTGGATTGACGTAATTTTTTTCATAAATAATATACATTGAAACTCTTACAAAATAAACGGTTTTAATTATCGAAATGAACTTATAGTAAATCCTACGAATCCTTTAATTCTTTTTCCTATTAAGTTGTAAATATAGAAAAACACCAATCTTTTTACAATAATGTTAGATCTATAGTGAGAAATATGTGCAGCCAATCAAATCTATTAAACTTGATGTATAGAGAAATGGAGAGAATGAATTATGTATTGATTGATTGATTGATATTATTGATTGATTTTTTCTGTATATTACAATTCCTATATATAGAGGAGAAGATGGTAGTAGGTGTAGGTGGTAGTGGAGGTGGTAGGTGGAGTGGGTGGTAGTGGAGGTGGTAGGTGGGTGGTAGTTTACATTTTACAATTTACATTTTACATTAACAGAATCCAATGATATGTTCCACCAAATCCGGTAGATCTTTGTGAGAAAATCAAATTTTTTTTTTTCATAGACCGGTGTGAGAAAAATCATTGATTGATGAATATTTGCTAATCAAACCGTTAGTCAAGTTTGGCCGTGTGGGATACAAACGAGATATGTGACGCGATCCCCTGATGCTGATGGTCCGCTAATGACTACACTAATTAGGCCTAGTTTAATTTGTGGATAAGCAATGAGAATTGAATTAAGGATTATTTTGAAAAGTTAGTTAAAAATTAATTTTTTAAACTTTTTTTTAATTATTTTTGAAAAAATGTATAAAAAATTAAGAAATAATGTGACCCAAAATACATTAAAAATTATCTTTGGGGAAATTACCGCGGAAGGCCACCGTGATGTTCCGATTTGGAGGGCCGCCATATGCTGCAGTGGAGGAGCAGGGAGTAGTGATCATGCCCAGTGGAGTGGTTGACACGGAGGCAACACCGGCAAGGACCGCCCAGGACGGAGGCAAGAAGAAAAGACCTGCGGCAGAGTAGAGAAGAAAAATCCCATCTGTGAATGTGGTTGTTTGTTTGTATTTTGGTTTGTTGTTGTTGTTTTTTTTTTTTTTGTTGTATGTGGAAACATGGTGATCGGGGTGAGTCCCGATATGAATAAAATGAGTTTGGTGTGCAGATCTTCCTGCGTCTTTTGTTTTGGTTGTTTTTTTTTTTTTTGTCTCAGATGCCTTGAGTGGTCCTTTGGGCTTCTCTCCACCTTGCTTCCCCAGAGCCCAATCAGCAGAGTCAAAGTAAGCACGTTCATGGTCCGGAACTGGAATGTGGATAAATCAAAGAAAATGTTGGAAGAGACACTGAAGTGGAGATCAACCTATGGCGGACCGTCTCCGCCTTGGGAGCTTGACCGGCGACGGCCTCTCCTATAAGGAGAAGTTCATTGTCAAGTGTTATGAGGTTGGGATTAACTAAACTGCTACTGTTGAAACCAGTGCTAATCGTTTGCAGGAGGTATGTAATCATGCTCAGAGAAAGTGAGGTGCCGAGAGGGAGATGGAGGGTTGAATTGGTTGAGATCCGGCGGGCGGTCAAGGCAAGGTCGCCGCCCGCCGGAAGGCGAAGAACACCAAGATCTTTAACCTTGCTTTGATACCATGTAAAAAATTAATGTATTATTGATTGATGTATGTTATAAATTACAAATGGTGAGGGGCTTCTTATATAGGAGATGTAGTGGAATAGGTGGTAGTAGGTGGTAGTGGTAGGTGTGTAGTAGGTAGTAGTAGGTGGTGGTAGGTGTAGTAGGTGGAGTAGGTGATGGTAGGTTTTAACAGCCCCTCGCAAACTCAAGGGGGATAGGAACTAACCAACTTGAGTTTGGAGAGAGTAACAAAACAAGAAAATAATCTGAAAAATAAAAAATGGATAGGAGACACTGTATGGTCGTGTCAGACAGTTGTAGAAGACTGTATGGTTATGGCAGACGGTGCAGCAGTTAAACGCCCAACTGGTTCTGCTCTAACGCATGTATAAGGATGCGCGAGCAGAGATAAGTGTGCTAAAGGCGGAAAATAAGGAGTTGAAGCGGAAGGCCACCGTGATGTTCCGATTTGGAGGTCCGCCATATGCAGTAGTGGAGGAGCAGGGAGTAGTGATCATGCCCAGTGGAGTGGGTGACACGGAGGCAACACCGGCAAGGGCCGCCCAGGACGGAGGCAAGAAGAAAAGACCTGCGGCAGAGTAGAGAAGAAAAATCCCACCTGTGAATGTGGTTGTTTGTTTGTATTTTGTTTTGTTGTTGTTGTTGTTGTTGTTGTTTTTTTTTTTTTTGTTGTATGTGGAAACATGGTGATCGGGGGGAGTCCCGATATGAATAAAATGAGTTTGGTGTGCAGATCTTCCTGCGTCTTTTGTTTTGGTTTTTTTTTTTTTTTTTTTGACTCAGACCCATGTGCGCCGGATGGGTGATATGGAAAACATTTTCAGAGGTGGAATATAAAAAAAATAATAAGAAGAGAAGGGAAAAAGAATGATGCTCACGAACATAAAAAAAAAAATATAGAGAAATTAAAATAAAAAAAAAATGGAACGTGGGTGGAATAAATTAAGAAAAAGGAGGGATATGAGTAAAGGGAGTATGGGGGAGAGAAAAAGGGACCAGAGAGAGAGGGAGTGGGTGGAGTGCATGTGTATCTGTCCGTTTGTTTTTTTTTTTTTTTTTTTTTTTTTTTTGTTTTTTTTTTTTTTTTTTTTTTGGTTTTGTTGGTGTTTTTGTTTTTGTTTTTTTTTTTTTGTTGTGTTTGTTGTTTTGTGCTTCAACACCCCAAACCCGAGAGAGTGGGAGACAGCTTCCTCTAGAAGAGAGAGAGTTACGGAGGCATGGTGTGGGTTGTGTGCTGAGAGAGAGAAGAGAGAGTTGGATTTATCAGTGTTGTGAGGTCAATGTCGTGGTGGTGGGAGTGAATCAGAAAAGGGTTTTGGTGGAGAGAATGGATTGGATAGAGAGATTGAGATTCCAACATTGCTGTTGTTGCTGGTGTTGTTTCAGATTCAAGCAAAGGGGGTAGAGAATCAGGGGTGGCAGATGAAGAATAAGCCTCGAATAAGTAGCTTTGGCCACCAAACATTGCATTTCTCGTCTCTCCTGTTCTGTGTATTATTCTGCAAAGCACCCATTCCTCCTTGAAGGAGTGACGGTAGGAGAAGTCACCGTGGAGACGGTACTCATGCATGACCCACTTGGCCACCAAACTAGGGTTTGAACTTTTCGTCGTGCGGCGGTCGTCTTGGAGAATAACGAGGTCGGCGTCGTCCCAAGAGTCGGGAGAGGGTGTGCCGGTGAGGAGGGACGGGACGAGGAGGTAGATGACGGAGGCGATTAGCGAGATGACGGCGGCAAGCTCGGAGAGGGTGACGATGTGGAGGGGCATGGAGTTGCAGATCTTCTCACGCCAGCGGGGATCTGGGGACTAGCAACCTAGTGTGCACAGGCTTCGTCGATAGCAGCAGAGACGGAGGGTTTGGAGCGAAGAAAGTCTACTTGTTCCGTAGGGATGGATTTTCCTGGAGCGAGTGAGTCTTCCAATTGGAGGATGTGAGTGGTCTTCTTGCGGAGGGCACGGAGGCTGTGCTTTGGCGAGGTATGTGTAAAAAAAATCTTAGCGGATTAGGTTGAGGTCCGGCGGACGGCTAAGGTGAGGTTGCCGCCCGCCGGTGAAGCGAAAAATACTAGGTGCTAAACCTGCTCTGATACCATGTTAAACTTGATGTATAGAGAAATGGAGAGAATGAATTATGTATTGATTGATTGATTGATATTATTGATTGATTCTATGTTGTATATTACAATTCCTATATATAGAGGAGAAGATGGTAGTAGGTGTAGGTGGTAGTGGAGGTGGTAGGTGGAGTGGTTGGTAGTGGAGGTGGTAGGTGGGTGGTAGTTTACATTTTACAATTTACATTTTACATTAACAAAATCCAATGATATGTTCCACCAAATTCGGTAGATCTTTGTGAGAAAATCAATTTTTTTTTTTTTTTTCATAGACCGGTGTGAGAAAAATCATTGATTGATGAATATTTGCTAATCAAACCGTTAGTCAAGTTTGGCCGTGTGGGATACAAACGAGATATGTGACGCGATCCCCTGATGCTGATGGTCCGCTAATGACTACACTAATTAGGCCTAGTTTAATTTGTGGATAAGCAATGAGAATTGAATTAAGGATTATTTTGAAAAGTTAGTTAAAAATTAATTTTTTAAACTTTTTTTTAATTATTTTTGAAAAAATGTATAAAAAATTAAGAAATAATGTGACCCAAAATACATTAAAAATTATCTTTGGGGAAATTACCCACAGGTCCCATGTGGAACATGTGGACACCATTTAATCCCCTAACTTTTTGGGTACACCCAAAAGCCCTTTCTTCCATCTCTCTGGTTTTTTCTTCCCTTTTTACGTTTTCTTCTTTCTCTTTTTTTCTACATTCTTCTCTCATCGTCTTCGTCATAGACGATGGTGCAAGTGTTCATGTCTTTCTCCATTGATCGGGGTTCACTGATAACCGCCAAGCATCGAAATCAACTCGTGATTTCACTCTCACCGACGGCGAAGATATATATTTCCGACGAAGAAGATGAGTGGATCTATTTAGATATGATGTAGATCTACTCAGATCTACATCAGATCTGAGTAGATCTACATCAGATTTGGCTAGATCTAAACAAAAAATAGTTGTCAAAGTACAATCCTCTCTCTACATCTGCCTTTCTCATTCGATCTCTTTTTTTTTTCTCTGCTATACACTTCTGTTTTTCTGTTCTAATGGAGAAAATTTTCGAATTCTGAACAAGTAGTTTTCGAGTTTTAGTTATAGGCGGTGAAAACTGTAAAATTTTGCAGTTTCAAAATTTTTTTTGGTGCTGGAATGAATCATGGTTTAAAACTGTAAAATTTTGCAGTTTTATAACATTCTTTAGAACTGTAAAATTTTACAGTTTCATAACATGTTTTTTAATTTTTTTTTGGGGGCAATATTCTAGACATTCCGGTGAGTCTTCGGCGACCGTTAAACGAAAGTCCAATGGTAGTAAGATGTGAACAGTGTCTGTAAATTAAAAAAAAAAAAAAGAATTTTTTGGTAAGAATTAAAAATGTATTGGACTAATTGGTGCAAATATTTTATTTTGAAATTAGCTGAATGTTGAACTTGGTACATGAGACTTATCAATAAGTTCTCCATTATCTTTTAACTTTTAACCATCTTTCTGAAAAGGCCCAAATATTCTAAAATAAAGTAACCTTTTGTTTGTTTTTGTGCAAACTGCTTAGATGTCCGAGTATTTTATATGATGTTTGGTCAGAAAATTTAACCCTGAGTTACTTGTTCCAAAATTAGACAAAGTGTTTAATAATGTTGTGTTTGATTAAAGGATTTAAAAAGAAATTTAGAAAATGAAAAAAAAAAGATGTGTGAAATAATGTAAAATATAGATATATTTTATTAACATTTTACATACCTTTTCCATTTTCCTCTTCAAATCCATTTCTAAATCCTCCAATTAAACACAACGTAAAAGACAAAGGAAAAGAAGCGTTCACATTTTATATGATTGAGAGTGTTACAATAGAGCTTGTTCCAACCACAGAAATCAAATTGACTTAGGCGGTGTTTGGAAAGGAGGTTGAGAGGCTATTTTATCCTCATTCGAACAAATAGTCAAAAAGTTGTACTATAGCTGAGTTTTTTATTTTTATTTTTATCAGAAACTGACGCGTGACAGATTTGGTAGAAGTGTCATGACTGTGCAGGGCAGATTTGAAATTATGATTTTGCCCTTTTAATTTTTAATTAACCCACCAACTTAGCATTCCAACACATCGAGGCAATTTAGTCATTTCATACCTCCAACAAATCAATCATCATGCACTTGCACAATTTCATCACGTCAGGCATAACTTTTTGGAAATAATTTAATTATTTTTTGTCTCAATATCATTTCAAACACATTTTTCAATACAACAATTAAACAAAAAACTCAATCCATCTTCTCAAACATAAAAACTAAAATAACTTACTAAAATAATAAAAAAGTCTAAAAAATAGCCACTTCCCAAACACCCACTTAGTATGGTGAATGATTGATTTCCATTATTAATAAATTTTAATAATGTTAAGAACATAGAAACTAACTACAGATGAATGAAATATAAATATCTTACAAGGGGTAGGTCTCACATGTGGATCTCAAATCATGTAAATCCCATTTATTATGTGACATTTGTGTCATATTCTATGTGTTCAACACTCTTTACCTTCTGACTTATTGATAAATTTTCATACAAAAAATCTTATGAGCTAAATTTAGTAGTACATATATTTCTCTCTCTAGAATGGGAGTCAGACACTGCCGGCCTGGGGCTAAGGCCACTAAAGCCTGTACTTAGGGCTCACAAATTTTGGCCCAAAATAAGGCCCAAAATTTATTAGTTTTACATTATATTAAAGTTCAAACCTAATTTTTTTTATTGTTTGAGACCTAGTCCAAAAAGCCCCTCAAAAAAAATCTGTTAGGCAAATTAAAAAATATATATATATCATCATTGTTAGGCCTAATTAAAATTTTATATAATTAGTCCAAACAAATATATATGATATAATGAGTCCAAATAGAGTCCAATGTCAAGATTTTAATAGAGTAAATAACTTTATTTTAATTTTTTTGCCCTCTCTTTATCATAGTTTAATTGAATAATTTTACCCAAATTTATTTTCCTTAATTTTGTTTGTCCTCTCTCTTTATCATAATTTAATTGAATAATTTTGTCTTAGTTTTTTCTCCCAATTTTTTTTCTAATAATTTGTGTTTTGTTATAAAAAAATCAATGGATTGTGATTTGTGAGGATTGTTATCACACATCATATTACAATAATATAATCATTTCGTTATCAAATATCAACAAATTATGTTGTTTGTATCGATTATTGCTAAATTATAAAACAACATGACCCTATTTTATCTTTCTTGTGTCTTTGTAATGATTTTTTTGTATCTTAATGTATGAAAAAAAAAATTAATGATACATGTGTAAGGAAACTTTTTGTAGTTACTAAATAATGAAAAAAATTATTGATAACTTATTATTTTATCCGTAATTTTTTTTATAAAAAATATATAGATAAAAGGCCCCACTTCAACAGTCTGGAGCCAGAGTTTCCCTCTGATTTTTCTCTCAGCATTTTCTTTTCTTTTTTGGAGTGATCCTTACTGTTCCTTGTTACTATTTGATGTGGGTGGTTCATCTCCCCTTCTAGTGAGTAGGAGTGTGGGACTCCTTTTCCTTCTTTAACTTCTTATGCTTCTTTGTTGGAGTCTGTTTTACTTCATTTTCTGGTAATTATCCCTTTTGTTTTGCTCTCCTTTGTTTGGTCTGGGCAAGACTTGTAGTCCCTTTGCATTTTTGGGCTGTTTATGACAGGATTGGCAGATAATCTAGAGCGTGATAATAATGATAATATTAGTAGTAATTTCTCAGAAGCATTTGATCATGAAAAGGCATGGTCTTTGATGCTTTATTGAGTGCATTTTTTTTTTTGGGGGGGGGGGGGAATAGTAACATTATTCGTTTTGACCCATTTAAAAATTTTGACTTTAAACCCAGCATTTTCACCTACAAGCGGATGACAAGAGTGAGATACATTAACCAATGAATCTAAAGGCTAAGTAAACCAATTTTATACCACTAGACCAACATTCAACATATTCATAATGATATATTCATAATGATATATTCATAACTAAGTAAACCAAATTTATTATTAATGTGCATGTTAATTTTAGGTTTTTATTTTTCTTTCTAAGCCTGAGCTCGAGCTTGAGCTTGAACTTTTAAGTTGGACTTGAACTCGACCCCTATTTGAGCTAATTTTTTATTTTCAGAAAGCCCAGGACACTCAGAAAACTCCGCTAGTTTGCAGCCTTACTAGAGAACGGAAGCAACAAGAGGTTACAAATATGTTATATTAGACTTTCTTGAGTCCATATTACTAATTATTCTGGTGACTTTTTGACATACAATTTTTTTTTTTTTGGGGTGCTATTTCTCCCATACAGCATAGTCATTGCCAGAGGTAGAAACATGAAAATTAGGTGGAATAAGATTTCCAAGATCAAGCTTTGGACCAATCTTGACAATGATTTTATCATCAACCATGGCTACATATAGATCAGCATCAGCAGCCATAAACTGCACTGTGCTCAATGCAGTAGCAGTAGTAGGGGTATTTTTATACTTTCGAATCTCTCTCAATGCATGTCATCTTCCTGTACTTTTAATTTCATGCTATTTAATGAAATTTTTCTTTACTGATCAAAAAAAAAAAAAAAAAACTGCACTATGCTCGTTGCGTCGATCCCATTCCTTCTCCTAATTGCAGCCAATGTAGCTATTGGATCCTTCAGTCCCCACTCAATGAAGTGGTCATAAAACTGCAAAATACTAAAAATTAAAAAATATCAATTTTATATATTAATACTATCAATAGTATTACTAATCTGGTAGTATACAAACAACAACTCTATCCTACATCTCCAACCTAATACCATGATACTAATAATTTATTCATTCAATTTCACCGTACTCTTAATCCCCTTCATCATATGGAGCCAAACAAACATGGTCATCATGATATGATTCATTGTAATTTTTTATTTTAAAAGGAAATATTATTAAAAATTAATTTATTTACAATAATAATTTGTCATATTATTTTTCTAAATTTTTTTGTATGAATTTTAGTTTGAATAATTCTGCTTACACCACTAGTTTAACTCTTTACACCCTTCCATCTTATTACACCATTAAAAAAATATGATTCTCATTACACCCATTATACTACCAAAACTAACCCTAAACTGAAAACCCTTCAAACCCTTTCAGTTTTGTCTTTTTACACTGATAACTTTTAGTAATGTAATGCAAAAAAATTTGAATTACTCTTGTATTGTGTAACTAGGCAAACTAATTTTTTCCAGTTATTTGATTAGACGATTTTACTTTACTTAACAAGAAATTAGTTGGAGTCCATTTGTGAAATGCATAATCAGTGATACATTACTATACAAATTAAATTATTCCAGTATCATGTTGCCAACTAAAATAAATTTGTCCAACTAACAGTCGCTGTACATTTACAAATTACTCTAGTGTTATATCATCGAACCAAAATAAATTTGTACAGTGATCACCTGTCGCTTTACGTGTTGTAGACTATCTTCATTGTTGTCACATTAAAGGTATCTCTTTGTTTCAATGTAGCCAATATCTCTTTTGGTCACACCATACTCTTTGACATGTCAATTAATAAGGATGTTTCCTTCTTAGATAATCTACCAGCAAATTAGTGCCTTTCAAGATGTTCAGCAGTTAGATGATTGCACTTGCATTGTTGCAATGAGTAGAAACATAATCATTCCAAGCAAAAGAAAATAATAAATAAAATGAAACTAGAAATGTATGGTAATGAATAACCGAACAAATTAAAACGTCCAGCCTTGTGTTACAGGAAATGTATCTTTTATTCGGTAGTGGGTTACCGAACATATATTTTTTGTTCAACAATATGATTCTATACTATTTTATTTTTTTTGATTTTGACATACTAAACAAAAGTCGAAGAACTCTATCAGAAAACGAAACAAAAACCTACTAAACAAGTAAAAAAAAACTCACACATTTGACTTTTTTTTATGGTTCTTCACCACTGTTTCTTCATCCATTGCTTTCTTCTATGATCAAAACACTATGATTCTCACTTTTTGAAAAAAAATGTGTAGTAGAGAAGAAAAATTGAGAAGGGAAGAAGAGCAGTAGAGATTGAAGAGGAATGGGTGTAAGGAGAAAATAAAATATATTGGGTAAATTATACAAATAGTCCCTATAGTTTACACAATGTGTCAATTTGGTCCTTATTGTTTCAATTTGCTCGATTTTGTCCCTTAAATTAACGAATTGTGTCATTTTAGTTCAATAAATAACAATTGTTAAGTTTGGTAGACGGAAAGTCAAACTCTGTGTCGATTTGGTCCATGTAGTTTACACAATGTGTCAATTTGATCCCTGTCAAAATCGAACAAATTAAAACAACATGGACCAAATTAACATATTGTGTAGACTTTCCGTCTACCAAACTTAACAACCATTATTTATTGGACTAAAATGACACAATTTGTTAAATTAAGGGGTAAAATCGAGCAAATTGAAATAACAGGAGATCAAATTGACACATCGTTTAAACTACATGGACCATTTGCATAATTTATCCAAAGATATTTAATTTTAGTCTTTTATCCTTAAAGGTAATTTCACATATAGGTAAAATTGGGAAAAAAAATCTCATATGAATGATTTAAAGAGGTAAACTAGGGGAAATTCTATTTCCACACCCTTAATTACCTTAGTCCACAACTTCTCTCAGTACACACACTTATTAATTTGATTATTAATTAATTTTCTCAATCCACACACTTAAAGTTACAATTATACACTTCACTCATGATCATTGTACACACACCACTCAACCCTCATTTCCACACTTTTTTTTTTGTTTTTGTTTTTTGTTTGTTTGTTTGTTTGTTTGTTTGTTTTTTTTTTTCGGTTTGGAGATTTCAGAATTGGTTTTTCAAAATTATATATTTAATTCAAAACTTAACTTCAGAATAAAAGTGATTAGTTCGACAAATTTATTCCGAATTTTTTTTAAAAAAAAAAACTTTCGGCAGTTGATGTCTGAATATAATAAAATAATTCGGCAGTTAATGTCTGAATATAATGAAATAATTCAGCATTGGTTGTCCAACTGAAAACTGTGAAAAAAAAAAGAAAGAAGTTCTGCACAAAAAAACTAACATTTTCATCACTAATAGAATATAAATTTAGAGATTAAAACAATATGAGAATTGTTATGAGAGTACTAATTTTCAAGTAATAGAAGAATATAAAGTGTGTAGCAAGCAAAGTAACAACAATGGAAAAATTAGGATTTAGTTTTTTTTTTTTAAACTCAAAATGCGTACGTTGAGAATCTTTTTTTTTTTTTTTTAAGATGTGTACAGAGAATATTTTCATATAATATTATGGGTGCTAGTGGTTATCTGTTTACAAAACATATCATTAATGTATATCTGTTTATTATTGATTTGTATATCTATTTATAAAAATAATCTTTCATTTTATATGAATTGTGTTTATTTTTTATTAATTATTGATTTGTTTATTTTAAAGAATGTGACTCTGTTTATTATTGAGCTGTCTATCTATGTTTTTTACCCCTAAGCTTGACTTGGATATATGAACTCACAATTGTATTGCAGTACCAAAGTTGATTGAACTATTCATAGCCTTAAGAATACGTTTGAGTACTGTTGTATTTGTTTTGTTTTAGTTGTTTGTTAAAATTTGTTAGAATAGTAGAGAGAGTGAAAAAATAATATGTATTGTATTGAATAAATTGTATTATATAATAGAAGGCCTATATATAGGCTGAGAAAGAGTATCATACTAGAAATCTAACTACGAGAAAGAGTATTCTATAAGAGACCTAACTATGACACTACATAATATATCTAGGAAATCAATACCTAATATATGTAGGAATATATACCATATATATACTAACATCCTCCCTCAAATAAACATCTTCAGTTTGGAGAGAGAAATTAAAACATGAAATAAGACTGAATAAAATAAAGGGCAAATAGATTGCAAAATCCGAACGGGAGCGCAAGGGCGCTTGAAATAGATCAAAGGCCGAAACTAAAGCAGGGAGACAGTTTATGGTCATGTCGAACCATTGTAGGAACTGGCTGAAACTGACGCCGAGACAGTTTATGGTCATGTCGGACCGTTGTAGGAGCTAACCGGAATCAATGTCGGGATAGTTTAAAGGGGTCATGCTGGACCGATATAGGAGCTAACCGGAATCAATGTCGGGACATTTTAAAGGGGTCATGTCGGGCCGATGTAGGAGCTAACCGAAATCAATGTCGGGACAGTTTAAAGGGGTCATGCCAGACCGATGTAAGAGCTAACCGGAATCAATGTCGGGACAGTTTACGGGGTCATGACGGACCGATGTAGGAATTAACCAGATGTTGAACCAGCAAGCGTGGCACACACATAACTTATGACGTGGTGCTGAACGATGATGGCAACAGATGATTCAATGCGTTAGGAGACGGGTTGGATGGTACGTTAGGGGACGAGTTTGCTAGTGTGCCAGAGGAAACGCCTTGGATTGTGAGCTAGAGAGGGACGGCTTGGGTTGTGCGCTAGAGAGTGCGGCTTGGATTATGCGCCAAGGAGGTGGCTAAATAGGTGGTATGCATAGTGTGTAACCATATTTACCATGATATAAGTATAATACCCCCCCTCAAACTTAAATAGGTTTGAAGATAAAAACTAATTTGAGGTTGAAGTAGAGGGAAAGATAGAACGGAGGGAAAAAAAATTGTGAGTAAAAAAAAATATATGATAGAGATATTTAGGGTAGAAATAAACCAGCGGATAGAGGAAGAAATCATTACGAAACGATACTGAAAGGGAAACATGACAGCGGAATAGGTTGAGGTTCGGCAAGCATCCAAGGCAAGGCTAAAGCGAAATTACTAGGTTCTTAACGTAGCTCTGATACTTTGTTAGAATAGTAGAGAGAGAGAGAAAAAATAATATGTATTGTATTGAATGGATTTTATTATATAATAGAAGACCTATATATAGGCTGAGAAAGAGTATCCTACTAGAAATTTAACTATGAGAAAGAGTATCCTATAAGAGACCTAACTATGACAATACCTAATATATCTAGAAAACCAATACCTAATATATGTAGGAATATATACCATATATACATTAACAAAATTCATGAGAAAATACATTGATTTTCATTACATGTATAAAGACACATCTGATGTGATCGAGATATATGTTTTCTTCATGCAAAATTGTATACATGTTTGGGAATTGGTGTTCTGATTGTTGTAATCTCATGCTGAGCAAGGATGAAATAAGGAACAAAGTTACATTTACCGGCATTTCAACTATGACAAAGTTGCTTCTTCTCTTCAATGATTTTTAAAGTCAACACATCTCCCCTAATAACCACGTTAATCACAATCCCATCTGCGTATGTTTATTCAAAATTATGTGAAGAAAAAAAATTCATGAATTGTTGTTGCATTGACCTG